ATTTGGCTCAAATGATTTTCCAGGTTTTTCATGATTTCTTCCATAATTGATTATTTAGAAGTATTTTAATTGATTCCCAAACAGGGATTTTTTTTTCTCATATCTTTCTGTTATTAATTTCTAGTTTAATGCTCTTTGGGTTAGAGAACTACTCTACTTGATTTAACCATTTAACATTAATTGAGACTTGTTTCCATTGGCCCATAGTTTGCTTTTAATTTGTGACTTTTCTATTGCCACTTGAAAACAGTGGATATTCTTCTACTGTTGGGCCATTCTTTCTGTGTAATTAGATCAAATTGGTTGATAGTATTGTTTAGGTTTTTACATGCTCAGTGATTTTTTTCATCTATTAGGGAGGAGTGTTCTAATGCCCAGTCATGACACTGGATTTGTATATTTTTCTCTCAGTTCTATTAGTTTTAGCTTCATGCATTTTGAAGCTGTATTATTAGATGCATGCACACTAAGACTGTAATATCTTCTTGATTAGTTCAATTCTCTACCATTGTGAAATATCCCTCATTATGACTAACATATCCAGCTCTGAAGTCTACTTTAACTGATATTAACATACCTCTCCCATCTTTCTTTTGAGATGTATTTACAAGATATACATTTTCCTATCCCTTTTACCAATTTCCATTTAAAAAGGGTATCTTGTAAACAGCATGTAGTCAGTTCCTGCTTTTTAAAAATTCAATCCAACAGCTTTTTAAATTATGGCTTTTAAGCCATTTACATTAATGTAATTATTAATACTATTTGATTTATGTCTGCCATCTCACCATTTGTTTGCATTTATACAATCTGATACTTCCTTCTTTTTCTCTCTTTAAAGAGTTCATTAAGTGGGTACTTAATTTATACTATTGACTGATTTTTTTCTAGTTGTTGTTTTCAGTATGTGTCTTTTACTTATTATATTTTACATTCAAATAACATTATAATAATACCTGTGCTTTTACTGTCATTTATATTAATTCTATATATTTTGTAAACCTCACAATACATTATTATTTGCCTTAAACAGTTACTTAATTGTCTTTTAAAGGATTTAAAATGAGAAAAATTTGTCCTCTATACATGTCTACACATTTATTATTTCTGGTGCTCATCGTTTTGTAGTTCCACACTTCACTTTCCTTTGGAACTAGCTCACTGGACTACCCTAAAAGATCAGGCTCCTGTCATTTCACTTTCCTTCACCCATGAGGAGACCAACTGTCTCCTTTTGCCCAGGACCCAAAGAATTCCTGAGCCATAAGTATTTCAATGCTCAAACTGGAAAATTCCCAAGCGAAGCAAAAGAAGTGGGTCATTTACCTCTAGCCTGGCCCTCTCTCTTGAATAGTAAGCCCACCTTATTTGTGGATTTATTACACACAATTTTGACCAAGTGCTGTTAAAAAAAAAAAAGTAAATCCATCAAAAGAAATTTCATAAATGAAAACTCTGCACATGCATTCTGCAGCTCAGTTGACGTGGAGAAGCTCTCAGTCAGTTGTTTAAATTGTTGAGTGATTTGCTATTTCCTTGCCCATGATTTTGTGAAAATATGCCTCCCCAAAAGCAAATGGTGCCCAAAAGCCAGGTAAAAGGGAATGCCTTAATGAAAGTGATAAAGTAAAAATTTGAGGTTTGTCAATAAGCGACATGTCTTTTGCAGAAGTTGGGCAGTGTTATAGGAAAACCGAATCAAAGCATCTGCAGTGCAGCACAGAACTCCCTGCGTCCTGAACACTCTGTCCCTCAGTGGTGGTCTCCTGGAAACCACAGGCCCCCAATACCTTTAGCCTTTGTTGCTGATCTCAATGTATGTGCAGCTTCAGTTAATCCAAGATTAGCAGTCTTCACCAGGCTTCAAGGGTTAAAAGATACAATACACATGAGAACTGGGTTTCTGAAATGTGTTAGTAAGCACTGAGCGAGAATACCAAGCCAGCTTGAAATTAAAAGCAGTTACCAGGTTGCAAATTTAAACACCCTGCTGGTTAAGATCAGGCAAGGAAGCCAGATGGCTGACGTGTTAGTCACTTTTCCTTTCTGTGACAAAACAGCTGAGATGACAACTTAAAAGGAGGAAAGATTTATTTTGGCTCACAGTCTCAGAGTTTTCAGTCCATCATCAACTTGCACCATTGCTTTTAGGGCTGTGCATCATGGTGGAAGGGCATGGCAGAGGGAAGCTGCTCACCTGTGGCAGCCAGGGAGCAGAGGAGAAGGGGGAGAGAAGGGGGAGACACATATCCAAACCATAAGAGAGGCGTGAAAGGTTCATATGATGTCATAGGAAAAACTAGAAAGTAAGTTTTCAACAAGACCTTTTTGTTCATGGCTGTGTGCATATGTAAGTGTGTGTTTGTATGTGACAGGGTTAAATGCTGTGGGTAAATTTTGGAAAAATCAGTAAAATTAAAGTAACAACTGGATATAACAGCCTAGCAGGAAAATTATCAGCACATTCTCAATTTTATATTTAGTTATAAACTTCAAATTTGCCCTTAGTTTTTTTAAATTACTTCTGTATGAGAACTGAATATGAGATAATATCTAATACAAACTCAAAGCAGACAATTGGTTGTTTCTAACTTAACACATCTGTATTTCACAGGAAATTTTGAGCCATATTGGATGATTATCAGAAATGAGGAGAGTAGGTGATCAGATATTTTTGTTTAGAACATTTTGGGAAATTGATATTTGTAAATGAATCTTAAACATCTTAGAAATTTTTGATGTTCTTTTTTCTTGTCGGCCTTATGGCAATTGGTCTTTTCTCACATGGGATGATTTTGACTAAACAGTTTACAACCATTGATTTATTTTTTTTCTCTTTTTTATTATTGTATATTAACCATTTATTTTTTATAAATAGGTTCATAAAATGAAATGGTCCCTTAATAGTCAATGAAATGTTTCCTGTTTTAAAGGATTTCTTTTCCTCCCACTCAGAGCTAATTAGCCATGCTTGAGACATTATCAGAAGAATTTCTCTATAGAGGAAATGGTACTTTCTCTTCGAGGTTCTCCTCCCAGAATAAAGCTGTCTGGTGGGAGAGATCACTTCCTCCTTCCATCACATTTCATATGCACTGCTAAATGCTTAGAAATCTGTGTTCATAGCCCTGCCTTTTCTAGTGCAGTGATTTGGAGGCACAATGATTTGGGGTGACAAAAACAATGCAGAAGTACAATTTTACTAGTTTGGGCTGCTGAATCAGTAATACATATTCAAAAGAATAAGTTCTAAATGCACAAATTGAGGGGTTTTATATAACTGTATTTATAGCCCACCGTTATCACAATATAATATAGAGCTAATAAAAGAGTGATATGCAATTGTTGCTGGGTTGATCAAATCCATTCATTCAACAAATAGTGATGGAGTAGCTTCTATGTATAAAGCACACCTCTAACCGCTAGGGAGATTGCCACAATGCTAGCACTATAGACTTTTCAAGATACTAGCTTGTAGAACTTACAAAGTACCTAGCATTCTATAGTTTAGATTCTAGTAGAGAAGCCAGCTTCCCCTCTCCTACACACACACACACACACACACACACACACCACAAAGTGGAGGCACAGTACATCAGATGGTGGTAAGTGTTATGAAGAAATTACAGCAGGCTAAGTCAAGTTAGAGAGTGATCCAGAGTGTAGGGGACAAGTCTGCTATCTGATGTATGGTGAACAACATTGGCCTCACTGAACAATTCCAGCAGAGGCCTGAAAGATGAGGGAGGGAGCCTCGAAGGTATCCAAAGAAGAGTTGCTGAGGGGGCAGCAAGTGCCAAGGTTCTGAGGCAGAATTGTTGGACATATTTGAGGAATAGCAAGAATACTACTATGGCAAGAGCTAAAGGGTAAGGGGAGAGTGGCAAGAGATGAAGTAAAAATAAAGGTGGCAGATGCTGTGGGCCTTACAATTGCAGTAGAGATTTGGGCCATTTGTCCCCTGAGAGATGCCTTTGGAAGCAGAGTGGGTTTTTGAAATTCAAGCCAAATTGACAGAATACCTATCTTAGCCAAGGATATCCATTTCCATGTTGAATTATTTTTTGAACTTAGATGGATCATTCTGTAAGATTAGTAACAACTCAATCTTGGGAAATATGGCGGGGACTGTGGTTGCCAAACTTTTTAGAACAGCTTGGCCATCTCTCATCTTTACAAGTCTGAAATCTTGGTTTGGCAGATAGCTTTGCCTAAGGAGTGCCGATGTTTTTGTAAACCTATACCATAGTGCTGATAGTTTCAAATAGCAGAAAGTCTGTTCTGTCTGCTAGGATAGTTCAGTTTACTTCAATCATTTATTCAACAAGCATTTGCTTTGTGCCTACTGTATATATTCCAGGGATCATGCGAGGTTTATAAATACTTATCCAAAAAGTTCACAGTCAAATGAGGGAATCAGATTTGCACTAAGTAATTGCAAGATGATATGACAAGTACCTCCTAAGTAGTAGATGCTCACTAGATGCTTGTTCAATGGATGAGTGGTCATAGAATGAAGCGATGGTCTCTGTCTGAGGAAGTTAAGATAGAAGGATGGACTCACTCTGACCATCAGCTCCATGAGAAAGGGGCACTGCCTGTATTACCCACTCCGGCATCTAGCACAAACACAGCATATAATTGATGCTCAGTAAAAATTTGTTGCATGAATGAGTGAATGAGGAGATGGTTGAGTAGAGTCTGAAGAGAAATAAGAAGCATTTGGGAGGCAGGTGCACATGGTGAGCAAAAAAAAAAAGTGCAGAAGGTATGGGGAGTGGGATTGGCTGGTTCCATCCAGTAATAAGTTTAGATTTCCATTCAAAGTGCTCTATCAGGCACTTGGGACATAATTATTGGCACATATGCTTCTTTTTGGTGCATTTCATACGAATCTGTGTACAGCTGGAGCCTTCCTACAACATTACTAGTACGTGTTTGTATATGTGACCAGTTGAAATACCTACATTTTTAACACAGAAACCTTTTTGTTGTCCCAGCTCCTTCTACATGGTATATTTGCAAGCAAGAGTAACTCTGAAATCAGGATGAATAGCATTGTCCTCACAATGCAAAGACTCATGCACTTGGAGCACTCTAGGTGAGAGAAAAAAATCACAGATTTTGCCATGCGATAAAATGCATCATCTTCTCCATTTCTTCATCAAGGTACAACAACCTCTGGAAATGATTTCAAGTAAGTAAGAAAAGAAATGGGATAAAATTCCTTTAAAACCGGTTCACACCAGCTCTCCTGCATGTACTAGTATCTGTGAAGATCAGGTCACAAAACATTATTTTGAGGAGAAAGGGTTTAGTGAACCCTAGAAATTGGGTTTGATTTATGCCAGAAAATCTGCCTTTTCACTGCTTGAGATTTCTATGGAAGCAAGCCATGGTCTTTTACCAAAGGTTTCCAAGGAAACCCCATATAGTCCAGCATCTGAAAACAATTTGCTTGTTAATGAGAAATGGTTCTCACGGTGGGAAAGTGTTGCCTGAAAGAAAGGCTTCTGGATTTGGTAGCCAGTCTGTAAAAAGTGTTTACTGTTCTGCAGTTACATTTATGAAATTTCTACACAGAGTAAACATTTTTAGGTCCTATTTCACAGTCATTCTTACTTGTGAGGTTTTTTTTTTTTTTTTTCCTTTTTTTTTAAGAGGCTAGGGCAATAGAAGAGTGTTTGTTCTAAAAAATGTAAGTACTTGAACTTGCAAATATATTCAAACAACTTGCATTCCAGAATCTGTCCAGTCCATTGAGTTTTTCAATCTGTTTTGGAATTCCAACATTCTAAAATTCATATTAAGTTATAAGTAAACTAAATTATATTGCATGCAATAACTCTAAAAATCCCACAACAAAGTATGTTTTGTAAGTCTGTTTTTAAAATGTGTTCTGAAATGTCTCATAAATTGTATTTATTTTACTTCTTTCAAGTTCTTCCCTAAAACAAAGTAATTAATTGCAATGTTTTAATTTATAATCCTTTTATAATAATTTCAAGATCAGTTTTAATATATAATGAAACACTTAAGCCTATGGTTAAAACATAAAGTTAGGTACACCCTAATTCCTCTAAATGTACCTTTTGAAGTCAAATTCCAAAATAACCATATCTATATTTTCTCGATAACCTTTAAGAATTTCAAAGGAAATTCTTTCAATAATTTAAATAGACTTTCATCTCTAGTGTTATTTAGAAGCATGAATGAGTATATGACAGGGGCAGAAAGAGTGACCATTAGAAATTCAGAGGACAATATTTAAAAACACTTCTTGCCCTGGGGGTGTTATGTATAATACTCTGTTTTTCGGCCACTTGGAGGCCTGATGGGCCTCACTTTGCCCATCGTTGCCATCCGTCCATCTCTCCCGGCTGTTTTCTGCTTTAGACTTTTGTACACAGCATTCTTGCCAAGAATCTTCTTGTTGTCCTCAGTTGTTTCCTCATTTCACCCCCACCTCCTCTCTTTCTTCTCTGGTCTTTGAACAGCCTCTTTGGACAGCTGCTTTCGTTTGCAGCTCTGCTTTAGGCAGGGAAAAAATTCTGCCAATGCAAAAAGAAGAAGAAAACTAGGATATGAGAACAAGAAGGGCTGCCTGTGTCTCAACGCTCCATGTCCACCTCGGGGGGGCCCCTCATCCTTCGGTAGGAGACCGAGAAGAGATCTCTCTTGGAGGCTGACCCTAAGGGATCAGAGACTATCTAAGAGACTTTTTGTTTGCTCATTTCAGAACCAACAAATTCTGACACATTTGTGTCGAGAGAACTGAGAAGGTGATAATTGATGTTAACCCGCCATTTATTTGGTTTGCTCAGATCTATGCTATCGTCAGTGTTGTCTGGTCAAAGGAATATTTATAGAATATTTTCGATTATAACATTTGAAAGGGAGAGAGTATGACCTTTTCCCTCATTCCTTACAATAGGACACCAGAGGGCAGAAACCTCTATTTAACTTTTTCAGAGTGGCATATATGTGTACACATGAGACTAGCTCGTAAAGTTTAGTTCATGAAGAGAATATTTGGGATTTGGTTTTGGCTTTGGCTTTGTTTTGAGGTACTGGGGTTTGAATAGGGTCCTCATGCTTGCTGGGCAGGTGCTCTTCCACCTGTGCCATGCTCCCAGCCCTCCTTGCTTTGCTTAGCCAACAAAGGCCAGACTGGACTACCATACTCCTGTTTATGCCTCCTGCTTAACCAGCTTGATGGGCACACCAGTATGCCTCGCTTTTTTTTCTTTATTCATTTATTCATATGTGCATACATTGGGCCATTTCTCCCCTCTCCTCCCCCCACCCCCCTCGCTTCCAGGCAGAACCTGTTCTTTCCTCTTCTCCAATTTTGTTGAAGAGAAGACATAAGCAGTAATAAGAAAGACATAGTGTTTTTGCAACTTGAGATAAGGATAGCTATGCAGAGAGATTCCTAGCATTACTTCCATGTACAAGTGTATTACAACCCAAATTGATTTATCTCTGCCTGACCTCTTGACTACTTCCTGGTCACCTTCCCATATGACCTCTGTCGTTTTAAGGTTACTGTATTAGCTCCTCTGCAGTGGACACATCTCACACTTTCAAGTTTTGGGTTCCCTACCTTTCCCTATTTCTCCTGTAAGTGTCCTCCCTTAGCATGTGACCCAAGTCTAATAATATTACTGTATTTGTTTTGGGTCTAACAAAACAAATTGTTTTGTATGGGAGAACATACAATTTCTGGCTTTCTGAGCCTGGATAACTTTACTTAAGATGATGTTTTCCAGTTCCATCCATTTACTTGCAAATGATAAAATTTCATTCTTCTTCATGCTAAGTAAAATTCCATTATGTATAAATACCACATTTTCTTTTTTGTTGTTGTTGTTCATTTATTCACATGTGCATACATTGTTTAGGTCACTTCTCCACCCTGCCCCCCTCCCCCACCCTTCCCCCCCTCCCCTCCTCAGTTCCAGGCAGGTCCTGTTCTGCCCTTATCACTGATTTGTTGAAGAAAAAACACAAGCATAATAAGGAAGACAAAGCGTTTTTGCTAGTTGAGTTAAGGATAGCTATACAGAAATATTCCTACTATTGCTGTCATGTACAAATGTGTTACAACCCATGTTGATTCAATTCTAACTGATTTTTACATTGGTTCCTGATCCCCTGCTCATGATGACCTGTCATTTTAAGGTTTCTGTATTAGTTCCTCTGGAGTGGGGACATCAAATGCTTTCATGTTTTGGGTTTTCTACCTATTCCTATATCTCCCATATGTGCTCTCCCCTTGTCATGTGGTCCCAGTCCAACCACACTGCTGCATTTGCCCTAGATCTAAAGTTTGCATATGAAGGAGAACATACGATTTTTGGTCTTCTGAGCTTGGCTGACCTCGCTCAGAATGATGTTCTCCATTTCCATCCATTTACCTGCAAATGATAAGATTTCATTTTTCTTCATGGCTGAGTAAAATTCCATTGTGTACAAGTACCGCATTTTCATGATCCATTCATCAGTAGTGGGGCATCTTGGCTGTTTCCATAACTTGGCTATTGTGAATAGTGCCGCAATAAACATGGGTGTGCAGGTGCCTCTGGAGTAACCTGTGATGCATTCCTTTGGGTATATCCCCAAGAGTGGGATTGCTGGATCATACGGCAGGTCTATGTTTAGATTTTTAAAAAGCCTACAAATTTTTTTCCAGAGTGGTTGCACCAGCTTGCATTCCCACCAGCAGTGGATTATGGTTCCTTTTTTCCCACATCCTCACCAGCACTTGTTGGTGGTGTTTTGGATGATGACTATTCTAACAGGGGTGAGGTGGAATCTTAGTGTGGTTTTGATTTGCATTTCCTTTATGGCCAGAGATGGTGAGCATTTTTTTCATGTGTTTTTTGGCCATTTGAATTTCTTCTTTTGAAGGAGTTTGGTTTAGTTCAGTTGCCCATTTCTTAATTGGTTCATTGATTTTAGGAGAGTTTAGCTTCTTAAATTCCCTGTATATTCTGGTTATCAGTCCCTTGTCTGATGTATAGCTGGCAAATATTTTCTCCCACTCTGTGGGTGGTCTCTTCAGTTTAGAGAAATTTTGTTGTGCAGAAGCTTTTTAATTTTATGAAGTCCCATTTATTCATCCTTTCTTTTAGTTGCTGGGCTGCTGGGGTTCTATTGAGGAAGTCTTTGCCTATACCTATTTGTTCCAAAGCGTTTCCTGCTCCTTCCTGTAGTAACTTCAGAGTTTCAGGTCTGATATTTAGGTCCTTGATCCATTTTGAGTTGATGCTAGTACAGGGTGATAGACATGGATCTAGTTTCAGTTTCTTGTAGATGAGTAACCACTTTTCCCAGCAACATTTGTTGAAGAGGCTGTCTATTCTCCATCGTATATTTTGGGCACCTTTGTCAAAAATAAGGTGGGTATAGTTGTGTGGATTCATATCTGGGTCCTCTATTCTGTTCCACTGGTCTTCATGTCTGTTTTTGTGCCAGTACCATGCTGTTTGTATTGCTATTGCTTTGTAATATAGTTTGAAGTCAGGTACTGTGATACCTCCAGCATTGTTCTTTTTGCTGAGTATTGCCTTGGCTATTCGTGGTCTCTTGTGTTTCCAAATGAACTTTAGGGTAGATTTTTCAATCTCTGTGGTGAAAGTCATTGGATTTTGATGGGAATTGCATTAAACATGTAGATTGCTTTCAGTAGTATAGCCATTTTCACTATGTTGATTCTACCAATCCATGAGCATGGGAGATCTTTCCATCTTCTGTAGTCTTCCTCAGTCTCTTTCTTCAGGAGTTTGTAATTCTCCTTGTAGAGACCATTCACTTCCTTTGTTAAATTTACTCCTAGGTATTTGATTTTTTTTTGAGGCTATTGTGAATGGAATTGTTTCCATTTATTCCTTCTCATTTTGTTCATTGTTGGTGTATAGAAAAGCTAATGATTTTTGTAGATTGATTTTGTATCCTGCCACCTTACTGTAGCTGTTTATGGTATCTAAGAGTTTTTGGGTAGAGTTTTTTTGGGTCTTTAAGGTATAGGATTCATGTTGTCTGCAAATAAGGATATTTTAACAGTTTCTTTACCTATTTGTATTCCTATTCCTTTTATTTCTTCTTCTTGCCTAATTGCTCTGGCTAGAAATTCCAGTACTATGTTGAATAGGAGTGGGGATAGTGGGCACCCTTGCCTCGTTCCTGACTTTAGGGGGAATGGTTTCAGTTTTTCACCACTAAGTATGATGTTGGCTGTAGGTTTGTCATATATAGCTTTTATAATGTTGAGGTACATTCCTTCAATTCCTAGTTTTCTTAGAGCTTTTATCATGACGAAATACCACATTTTCTTAATCCATTCGTCAGTAGTGGAGCATCTTGGCTGTTTCCATAACTTGGCTATTGTGAATAGTGCTGGAATAAACATGGGTGTGCGCGTGCCTCTGGAGTAACCTGAGTCGCATTCCTTTGGGTATATCCCCAGGAGTGGGATTGCTGGATCGTATGGCAAGTCTATGTTTAATTTTTTAAGAAACCTCCATATTGTTTTCCAGAGTGGTTGCACTAGCTTACATTCCCACCAGCAGTGTATGAGGGTTCCTTTTTGCCCACATCCTCACCAACATTTGTTGTAGGTAGTGTTTTTGATGATAGCTATTCTGACAGGAGTGAGGTGGAATCTTAGTGTGGTTTTGATTTGCATTTCTTTTATGTATTCCTCTCTTTTTATTGGTTGAGATGGAGTCTCATGAACTCTTTGCCTAGGCTGGCCTCAAACTGCAGTCCTCTCAATCTCTTCTTCCTAAGTACCCAGGACTACAGGTATAGACAGGTCAGAAAACATCTTTTCTAAATGAAACAACACCAAGAAAATACTTTGTAGTTGGTGTTATGCCAATTCACTTGAGTTTTGAGGTTTAGTGAGATCTTTTCTGAGTGGCCAAAAAAGAAGAGCCATGAAATTCTCGTCTTTATGGCTGAAACATCAGGAGAGTGATTGGTGGCAGTATCTGAGTGATATGCCTACAACAGAAATGTGGTTTCCTTCTCAGCATATTTGCCTTGTTTCTACTTCTTTTCTTCTTTCTTTTCCCGCAGTCTACACTACAGCACCATAGACGGCTCCCTGGATAAGACACCAATCTAGTAGGGAGAACACAGATCTCAGTGTTGGACCTAGAAAGGAATCTTGTCTTTACTACGTAGCCTGCTCTGCATCTCACACTGACGCTGGTGTACCTGAGTGAAGGTACTGCCTAGATGAAATGCTTCCTCTCTTTGACCTTGTCTGAATGCTATTAATTTCCATATCAGAGCTGAACAGTTAAGAGGCAGGAACCATACAAAGCTCTCAACATGTATATATGAGAAGAAAAAAAAAAAGAGCGACTGCTGAGTTGAGATCCACAAACAGGAAATGATCACATTTCCTCATCTTGGACAAACTTTTAAAAATAATTACAGTTTCAAGATAAGGTGAATTCAAAATATTCTAATTAAGAAACTATTTGCTGGGTTGGGGATGTGGTTCAAGTGGTAGAGTGCCTCCATAGCAGTCATAAGGCCCTGAGTTCAAACCTCAGTGCCATCAAAAAAAGAAAGAATGCCATGTGCAGGACTCCTCAGTAGCAACATGAACACAAGATTACTGAACCATCTTGCTCAAGCAAGGACTAGTGACAACTTCTCTTCTCAGAATTTGGAGGGTTTTAAATAGTTACCCTACATCTGTGGCCACTGCTACCTTTTTCACTTAACACCCCTCTAATAAATGCCCTATTTGGTGATAAAGTGACAAGTTTTGATGATGACTAAGACAAGAGACCTTACCCTCCAGAAGGACCCAGGCTAGTGGAGGAGAGGAATATGTAAAAGAGAAATCATAGCACAGTCTTACAGAAATGTGAAAATAATATTTCTTCCAGAACATTTAGTTTCTGAAATCGATAAATCTTGCCAGTTAAGTGAGAACACTTGGAAGATGTTTAGTGTGTACCAGATTTTCCTGACAGATTGGGGGGAAGAGAGAATAATCTGGCCTAGTTGACCTCTTTCTACCCAAGTCAGTTTGTATTTTAGTGAAATGGACTCCTATGTGCTAGCACCCCAACATCGCTTTTGTTCTTCCCTAGCTCCTAAACATTGCCTGTGGTGTAAATGCAAGGGAAGAAGCCATCTGCCAGTGGAGGGAGCATGCAGGGCATTCCATTCTACTTCCTACTTCCATTTCAGCAGCTTTTTGTTTTTGGAAGATGAGTATCAAAGTGAATCTTTCTTTTTCTTCTGAATCTTAATGAAATATGTTTTATTTTATTTATTTAATTATTTATTTATTTATTTTTGGCAGCACCAGAGTCAGAACTCAGGGCTGCATGCTTGCAGGCGCTGTACAACTGGACCCACTCTACCAGCCGAAACTTCTTTTATTTAGACAAGGTATGATTTAGTGAGTTCTGCTCGGGATGACTGTATGGTATCATAGTGAATAGTCAATTAGATTTTAATTTTTTGGCAGTACTGGGGTTTGAACTCAGGGTCTCACACTTGCTAGGCAGCTGTTCTATCACTTGAGCCACACACCCAGCCCTTTTTTGCTTTATATAGTTTTCAGATAAGTTCTCAGGTTTTTTGCCGGGGCCAGCCTCAGACCATGATCTTCCTACCTATGGCTTCCTGTGTATCTGGGATTACAAGCAGTGATCAACACACCTGGCTTGTTGATTAAAATGGGGTCTCACTAACTTTTTGCCCAGACTGGCCTCAAACCGCAATCTTCCCAAGTAGCTGGAATTACAGCATGCACCACTATACCCAACCCTCAATTAACTTTTAGATGAGGGTTTGTCAACCTCATCACAATTGTCATTTGGGACTGGGTAGCTTTTTATTGTGAGGTGGCTGTCATATGTGTTATAGGATGCTTGGCTGCATCCTTGGTCTCAACCCACTAGCAGACAGCACTGCCACAGTTGTGACAATCAAAAATGTCTCCAGCCATTGCCAGGTACCCACTGGTGGATAAAATTGCCCCTAACTACCATTGATTCTAAGCTGATGAGCCTGCAGTGTGACACGGGTTTGCCCTTTCTCCTGGTAGCTGTAGGCCTTCCGTCTGCCGCACTCTTTCATACATTCAGTGCACAATTGGTGCAGGGTGCCGCCAGAAGCATAATGAGCCTTTGATGTAACTTGTAGCCTGGTAATTCACAAATCGAGTGGATCCCTCAGGTTCGTGGAATGTATGGTGATTCTCTGGAGCAGCGCCTTGGGCTCCCTAGCCAGCTGTGATGATCGTTCCAGATCAGGTATTACCACGAGGCGTCAAATACCTCCAGGCAGTGGGAGTCCTGCATGACTCTCATTGAAGAGTCGGTTCTTGGGCAAATAGGTTGGAATTGGTTTCTTTGTTTGACTTTTTGGGACATTTCCTTTTTTTTTTTTTTTTTTTTTTTTTTTTTACTGTTCAAGTCTTTTTTCTCCAAATCTGTTGTAAACCGACACTTGTGTATGGATTTAGGGGATTGTAACAACACCTGTCTTGACACACAGTTCTTGCTGATGGGACAGCTGTCCACTCTGGACATTTGTACAAGCACGTTCAGTCTTAGAAGAATAATACTGTGATAAAATAAATCTTTTAATTGTGTAATTGAAACTAACCTGAATGTCCAGCTTATTACTATAGAGTAACCTTTAAAAATTAATGAGGAACGATTCCAAATCCTGTAACTAAGCATTATGATTCATTTAAAGTCAAGAAATAATACAATATGACATTTGAATTGAGAAAGTACTGAGATGACTTGCTTAAGCATGAATAAAGTAATTTCCAGAAGTAGATTGTTTCCCTGGCATCCAGCTAGTCCTTTGAACATGCCCAAGTGATTCAGGAAGTTATATTGAGAGTAGAATTATTTTGATTTTCTGAGTTGCTGGTAAAGAACCTTTAAGGAGATGTAGGCTGTGTGTGTGAGAGTGTGTGTGTGTGTGTGTGTGTGTGTGTGTGTGTGTGTGTGTGTGTGTGAGTGGGGATTGAACTCAGTATCTTGTGCTTGTAAGGCAAGTGCTCTGCCACTTGAGCCTTGCCCCCAGTCTGATATATGCCTGTTTTTATTTTTAGTATTTCATTTATCACTGATGTCTGCTCTGTGATGATTTTTATTTTACAACTCTAACATTGTGTGTCTATTATTTTATTTTATTTTTAGCTACTATATATTAAGTGCTTACTAAATGCCAGGAACACTGTACATACATAATCCATTTAGTGTGAGAACCTCTTCAAGAGATTCATAGTGAGTTCCAGAACCTGGCTGGGAACCCAGGCTCGCTTTGTACCATTTTAATGCCTAATACACTTCATTGTGTAGTGTATTAGGCATTGTAGAGCACCAAAAGAATTTTGTGTTCCCTATCTAAGCTATCTGTTGCTCTAAGATACAACTTAGTTTTTGCCTGCCAAAAACAGTAGGGGAGATTTGATTTTTTTTTTTTTGGCAGTAGTAGGGCTCAAACTCATGGCCTCATGCTTGCTAGGCATGTGCTTTAGGCAGGCACTCTACCACTTGAGCCACTCCACCAGCAAGAGATTTGACTTGTTTGAAATAAACTCCAAGGATCTATCTGAGTCTATTATGATGACAAGAAGAGATGGAAATTTCTGGTTTCCAGGTTTACCGAAGAGACTGCTCTATTGCCTCAGTCTGTCTTCTACCTCTACACCGGATAGAAAGACAGATATGTGTGCACATATATCTGGCATAAGTGATAATCATATCATGATTCTGAAGTAGCCAAGCTTTAAATGGTTCAAGACTGTTGGTTTCAGTTTGTTATTATAACTTACATAAGCCATATGGATAAGTCAGATTTAGTAGAAAATGTGAAAGGAGAGCTATTTTAAAGCAACATATTTTTATAATGAAAACTAACCTGATATATTTTCCTATTCATTTTGCACTAATGATTACTGGTTGCTCCTTCACAAGATATCATTTAACTTAATTATATTGCTGGACTTATATCACAAACCATTCATTGTTAGAGCTAATGTAGGTATCATTTACATGTGGATGTGAGAAAGTGTGGGAGCAGTGAGAGAAATCATACTCTATGAAAAGTTTGATCTATAGTATTCAAACTTAAAAGCTAGGTAGTAAGGTCATTAAATTGACAAGCTTAGGGGGATGGGGAACTAATAATGATAGCATTATTATTCTCATTCCGTTTTACAGATGAGGAGTATGAAGCAGAGTTTAAATAACACTCCCAAGATTGTGTGGCTACAAAGTGACAGAGATCGGTTCTGAACTCTATTGCCAGCCCTGTGAGTCACTATTCGTATCTCTCTCTCTCTGGTGCATATGTCTTAGTTTGGAAAAAAGAGATAGTTCCCCCATGAAATTTTACTTGCAGGAAAAAGCTTCAGATGGCTAGAGAACTCAGGATATAACCACTTCAGATAGATCTGAGAACATAAGATGACCTGTAAATGTAAGATGGCCTTTCCATACCACATTTTTGTTGCAGGCAGCCCAGTACATGTCTCTGTTGCTGGGCTGTTGCAGAATGAATGAGTATAAAAGCTTCCTCATAGAACATGTCCCTAACATTAGGCTAAAAGTAAAAAGTGCAATTTTCCTTAAAAATTTTATAAATGACTTTTCTAAAAGTCATTTTATAAATGACTTTTCTAAAACAGCCATTTCACCAAATACTCTAAAAGCCATGTGTGGCTTGCTCAAGAAGTCAGTACATTTTCAAAAGTAAACCATTTCCTTTCACATTACTGGCCAGAACAGATCTCCTACTGTCATATGATGTCCCTAGTATAGAGGTAGTCCCTAGAAGCAGATATGAATTGTTGAGACCTGTGTCTTGGTTCCCTTAGGAACCCTGTTACCTGAGAACAGGGAGTGAAGTAAGGATCACCGCCTTCAGAGTCAGACCGGACTGAGGCTGAATTGCAGCTTGGAGGTATATTAGCTGTGTGAACACAGCCATCCACTGTGTTCCTCAGTTAGCTGATCTGAAAATGAGAATAATTATACCCACCCAGAGGATTGTTTTATGGGTTAAAGGAAAACTGCATCTACTGGGTAACATCAAACAAAGCATGTTATTTTCTTTTCGTTTATGCTTGTAACTGAGTACTCATTTGTAGGCACAAAAGAGAAGGAAGGAAGGAAGGGAGAGAGGGAGGGAGGAAGGGAAGTATGAAGGAAGGAAAGAAATGAGAAAGGAGAAAGGAAGGAAATGAATGAGGGGGAGAGAGACGGAAAGAAAACTGGCTAAATTTTTAAAAAGCAATTAACTCTTATTACTAAAAAATTAAGGGCTCAAACAACATTCCTAGTACCTGATTTCTGCATTTCTCTGGCCTTCTTTTCTAGGTAGTTGCTTGATTTTCAAAGAGTTCTTTCTAATGGTGACCCCCTAACAACTATAAATTTATATCTGACCAGTTTACAATCTAGCATTAAAAAAAGCTGCTTTCCTCAGAAATACCTACAAAAGTATTGGCTTACTTTGATGAGAGCAACTTTTTGCATGTTTCCATCCCTAAAACAATCCAGGGTGATTCAATATTTTAACTGTCTAAACCTAGATCACAAACTGGTTTCAGCTCCATCCAAAGTATAAAGCCAGAAGGTACAAGGAGCATGGTTCCCCAAAGGAAATGTACATAGTGTTACACCAAAGAGCATGTTAGACTGTAAAATCAGAAAAATACTCACTACATTGTCACTTACCTCAGTGACACTTGTTATCATTATTTTTACTATATATGTTTTCTGCCCATTCACAAAAATCCTATTAAACCCACTATCTTAAACATTCACTCTATTTAACAACTTTACTCGGAAAATATACTTGGATTTCCAATTTGGTGTATTGCAATATATCTCCTTCCCTTGCTTTAAGCTTGGCAAAATGAGAAGGAAATCTTTATCATATCTATGTGGAGCTATCATTTAACTGTTATGAGCCTCAGTTTTCTTCCACCTTCTAGGAAGTTACCCAACCAATTTTCTTTGTTTTTGACCAAAATATCTCTGCTTCCTACAGAAAATAGCAGATTGTTGTCTGATAACTTTTCTCCTTTTCCAGAAGCAAGGAAGACCAGCTCAGAACTGGGATTGGAGAACAGAGAGACACTTATCGGTGACAGAACTTTTGCCACTCTCTACCTTAACTTAGACCTGTACTTAACTGAGGTTAAAAGCGATAAAGCAGCCAGGTATGGTGGCTCAAACCTATAATCCCAGCTACTCCAGATAACAGAGATCTGGAAGACCAAGGTTTGAGGCCAACCTGGGTAAAAAATATCAGGGAGACCCCACCCCAATGAAAAGTGAGGAGTGGCGGTGTATTCCTGTCATCCCAGCTACCCAGAAAGCATAAATAGAAGGATCACTGTCCAGGATGGCCCAGGCATGAAGGGAAACCCCACCTGAAAAATAACTAAACTAAAAATGCTGGAGACTTGGCTCAAATGGTAGAGCACCAGCCTAGCAAGCATGAGGCCTGGAGTTCAACCCCAGTACCACCAAAAAAAGGCAATCAAGCAATATCTCCCAGGTTCCTCCAAGTTTGGGGAGTCATTAACCATTTGTACACTACTCTAGACCTCAAAGAGCCATTACTCCTGAAAAAGGTTCCTTCTCACCTTCATGTCTTACAATAGGACATTTGAGTCTCTGTTCAGATCAACTTGTCTGACTAATCCTATAACCCACATTAATTGCTCTCTCCTGTGTTCTTATTTCATGTTACGATAACAGTTAATTACACGTGTACATGTATTCTTCCCTAGACTGGAAATCACTTGGAAGCAACATTTTACTCTTAACCCATCTAAATAACCCTGAACGCATAGTTGCATTTTTCAAATGCCTACTGACTTAAATTGAATTTAATTAAATGGGTTTCTTATATCCTAAGACACAGTATATATGGACACGAGACTCATTCTTTTCTTATAACCATTTCCCCATTATAGATATGTTACATTTACTATTCTTGACATCTCCCACAGATTAATTTGTCTTGCACAAGCCCCTATTTGACCTTAGCTGACTAACATCTCCAAAGGGAATTTGGCCGCTTAGGGTCTTTTTGTTGCAAGAAGCATGTAAGTGTTTGGCAACACAGGCCTTCTTTACACAAGAGAATAACCAGAGTAGCTTGCAGAATTGAAGGTACCACCGGGCAAACAAGCTTCAGTGCGGTCAGGACAGGATAGTCCTGAGGACTCGAGCATTGAGAACTCAGGAGCCCTTGGACCTAGAACACCTCTGGCACCCCACTCGAGACACCTCAATGCACCCCGCTCAAGACACCTCCAGGCACCCCACTTGAGACTCAGAGTGCTAAGAATCAACTTAAGTCAGGTTGATTCAAGAGGCCAGCCCTGTGGTGGGAAACAGGTTCTTTTTCTTCTTCTTTAATCAGACATTGGAGTCATGAGGCTGCAGGAAAGATGAGATAGTGGACACTAAAGTAAGTGTCACCATAATGAATCTGAGGGTAAGCTACGCCACCAAGATTCTCTCTCAAAGAATGTGAATTTAGCATCCAAAACCAAACTAACAAACGATATGGGTGAATTTTGGTTTAGAAGTCACAGAGACTCAGACTGGGACCACAGTGGGGAAGCAGAGGAAACAGCATTGACAGACAAAAGTCAACATGAGATATAAGAATGGTCATGCATCCACTCAGAGATACACACGGTGACTTTGTTTCTTAGTGGTTTCTCCTCTTTTCTTGAGCATAACAACGTGTGATTAACAGTTGTGCTTAACAGGAAGAATGGAGTCACTGTTCTGTGAGATGCATCCTTACATGATTTTGTGTGGACATTGTAGACTGTGCTTACACTAACCTAGATATACAGGTTCATCATTCAACTTGGCCTCTTGATACAATCAGGAGACAACGGCAAACATGAGATGCAGGAGCTGCTCTCAGAGTACAGAATGAATTGTTTTTGCAAGTAGGTATACACTCTAAATGATAAAAAGTATAGTAGATACGTTAGCCAGGACGTGGTCATTGATTATCTTCACTAAGTGCATAATTGTGTGTGCTGTGTTTCACATGACTGGCAGTGCAGTGGGGTTGTTATGCCAGCATTATTCTCACAGGAGAGTGATGCCATAGCAATGCGGAGTTACAATGTCTGTGGTGTCACTAAGTGATCAACAAATTCTTCAGCACCATGATCATGTCGTGCATCCACCATCATAGTTGCCATCTGTTGTTGACTAAAGCATTTGGTGGATAACTGTATTTTCCCTGCAGTCATTGTGTTCTAGGATATCCCTTCAATTTATCACTGGGAAGTATAGCATGGCCTCATGTTTTGGAATATTCAGTCACAGAATATGGAATTAAAATGATCTTAAACCACCAAAGAGTACAGAAAATCAGATAATCTTATGCAATGCAAAAAAAATGCCATCACCAGTCTGCCACTTGGTAACGACCATGACCACAGTGATTTAAGATGTTTAATAGTTACTAAACATCATCCCCTGTTTTTAAGCATTTATATATACGGTCTCATTTAATCCTTACCAAACTACAACAGATGGGTCAAGTTATGAATTCCATTTTACACACAGGAGAAGTAAGCTATAGAGGGAATAAGCCATGGAGCAAGGCTTCAAATTCCCTAGTTTAACACCAAACTCAAAATTTTTGAAAGTGCAATTCTGCTCACAAACTTCAGGAATTAAACAATTTATAAGAAATCTGAGTTCTTGGTTTTTGTTGTTTTGTTTTGTTTTTGTGTTGTTTTGTTTGAACTCAGGACCTTGCATTTGCTAGACAAGCACTCTACCACTTGGCCACAGTCCCAGTCCTTTTGCTCTTAGTTTGCTCTTCATATAAGCTCTCCCACTTTTGCTACTTTTGTCCAGGTACCCTCCAACTAAGATCCTCCTGCCTCTGTGTTCTGAGTAGCTAGGATTATAGGCATGCACCACCAAAGAAATCTGAGTTTTAAGGTGCTTCAAAAACCTTATAAATTCCTTTGAACCAACAATTTCTCTTTTCTCCCAGGTGCTACTCAAATTGTAGAGTTACTCTGGTATTTCCATTAAGAGGAGTTTTTAATCTGGACGAAGAAGTAAAAGTTTACACCAATTGCTTCCAGAACAGGAATAATAAGAGCCCCATTTCCCAAGTGATTTCAAGGCACCAGAATTGTGTTTTATGAGCACTGTATGTTTTATCTCACAAGCCACTTTGGGAGATACTCTCCCGAACCTGATGAGGTAGGTGCTGCTGTTGTCCCTATTGTCGCTGTACCTTGTGATATGTCAAAATGCCTGGAATATGTACACAGTCATTCTAAGTGCTCACGTAAGTAAAACACAGCTAGAGTTTCACTAGAAACTCAGTAAATGTTTGCTTAATGAAAACACAAAGGGCTTGTTTAGCAGTTGTGTGTCTTGGGCTGTAGCCTTTGAGAAGCATGTGGAAAAAAAGAAGCACTGCCATCCCTCTTAGCAGAACATCGGAGATGGTATCACGTGACTAGACAGCTGCTGTTTTCCCCATCGTGATTCAGGCTCAGAATTGTTCTTTAATCCTTAATTTCACCATTAAAGAGAGTTTCTATCAAGTGCTTCAGAAGTACACAGTGTGAAGGGTCATTAATGGTCCCCTGCTGGTGACTGAGTGAGTGGGAGGACCCATGTTCCTGGCCGTCATGGGCACTGCATTCAGTGTGGGCAGAAATACAGGCTGGAGGGTGAGGGGTGCCAAGGACCTGTTTTCCTCCCACTTCCTTACTCTTGTCAGTGGGTCACTGTGTCTCCTTTGTAGTCCAACCAGTCACTCCTGGGCCAATCTAAGAATATATTCATTCTTTTGCTAAGGTGGGGGAAAAATTGCATTCAAGGTTCAAGTAATTTGAAGTTCCCTTCCTTTTATATCGAAGTCTTGCACCCATGTTGTTATAAAGTTAAAGCACTGGATTAAGTTTGCTCCTTTGTTACTTTTTTCCAGCTATTATGCACTTGGCTCCCTAGAAGGCTATTCTATGGTTTTAAAAAAAAAAGTTGTAAGTTGACAAAATGATAATTCTAACCAAAAAATAGGAACTCCAATTTAATAGTGTATTGTTGACAGTTACTCAATTTTTCAATCCAGTCATAATGAGACAAGACTCTGCATAAACCAACGACCACACAGATTATCAGTGGTAAGTATCAACAGGGTGTGGAGGAAATGGGTTATGATTTCTTCTTCTCCCAACTGCTGTAATGTTTTGCCTTTCAGAAATCAGTTGTTAAGAGTACGTTAAGCCCTGGCATACCAAGGTATAACTGTCCCAACAACACAAAGGTAGGGTGAGTGGCACAGGCACGACTTTTTCACCCTTGTTCTCGCAGGGACTCTCTCCACCAAGCTCTCTTTCTCTCTTTGTTCTCAAGTGTTACTATGTCATGTCATTGTGTCAATTCAGTCTATTGGAAGTTCCTGTGTCCTCTGTAATTTAGGCTTTACACAACATATGATTTACTCTGTTATTTGAAAAAAAAAAAAAAAGTCTAGCTGTTTTCCCTGACTGGAAGACTGGCATCCTTAATCTTCTATAGAAATCGTGATGAAGGAACAGATAAACCTAAGTAAATCCAGCTCCTTTAAATGTGTCAACCAGTTAAAAACTAAAAGTTGATTTTGTCCTGAACGTCCTTCCTTGCTGGGTACATTATGCAGAAAAAGGGGCCCCAGCCCATTTGCAGGGCTCTGAATGAGCTCCATTCATTCTGTCCTTGGAAGTGTCTCTTGAGCCACAAAGAGAAACAATAGTGTTACAACCTAATTTCTTTGGCACAGATATGGGTAGAGGAAAAGCCAAGAGACCATTATGAAAACTCTAATACTTTCTCTTGGTGGTTATATAATTTTGTATTCATTGGTGGTATTTGTATATTTAAGAAGTATGTTTTCTAAAAGGTTATAAAGTGGTTCTGTCATACTGTCATATCACATTTCATGCACAGGGCAACATTTTTAAAATGGAGTGTTTGAAAGTAATTTGTTTCTTATGGTTACTAAAGTTTAAAAAATACACTAACATGTACCCTGAGGCTTTAAGAGAGAATCTTTGTGTTTTTCCTTATTGTGTTTTTAAATCTGATAAGAATTTAAAACCACAGTTTTGTGAGCTAAAATCCATTAATCAGGTTCCACGTTTACCTGTAGAAGTCAGTGATGGGCGTAGAGGTGTCATGTTTATATGATTTCCAAGCCTCTGGAGTAAGCTGGTCTCAGTGCAGCTCTGATGTGAGCATATTACTCCACCACGACTTCCCACAGTGCTTAAGGGTAGGCCAGTCTTCCATGCACATTAGAAAGTTCCCTTTCTGGCTTCTGATTTTTGCAACTCTGCCCTTTTAGCCTCATCTCCTGCCTCTTCCCTTGCTGAACTTTCTTCAGCTGGCCTGGCTCTTTCTCTTCTGGATTTCTGCTTATTCCTGCCAAGAAGTTTCCACCATCCCCCCCCCCATCCTCATCTCCATCCTCCCATTTAATCTGATGGGCCTTCACTCACCTTTAAGACAGCCTGAAGGTACTTTTTCAGGAAGACTTTTAGTTGTATTAACTGACCAGTTAATAGTTCTATGTATTTGCAGCTGAGATTACGTGGGGATTACAAGCAGGAGATGAAGGACTTTCTAAACTGCACTTGCAAGGTTTGGAGTGGCAAATCCTCCTCTGTTTGAAAACTTTGCAGGATCCACTGATCTAGAAGGAGTCAATGGGCAGTGGACGAGGAAACACTGCAGTCATCTCTTTGCTCTATGTGATGAGCCCTGGGAAAAATTGCTTGCTTCCATTGGATGTTTGGAATCCCTGCTAATTCATCCTTGAGACCTATCAGCTGCCAATGTTTGACCCCTGTTGTCATGTACTGGTGAGCCATGCTGAATGTAATTGTAACTAAAATCCACAGAACATGAAGTTAGTGAATAGTGTGTAAAGCATACTAGTTCAGAGTTCAGGGTCTGGAAGGATCACACAACTTACTGGTTGTGTGAATGGGACAGGCTATTTAGAAAACCCACTTAGCAAACGGAACTGGAACTGAAGGTTGAGGTTAGGGTGAGGAAAGTACACCCTAAGCCAATTTCCCAAGCATGACATTACGTTAAATTTGAGAGTGTTATCTAAAATCCATGTGAGGCTGGGTGTGGTGGTCCATACCTGTAATCCCAGCTACTTAGGAGGCAGAGATAAGGGAGTATTTCAGTTTGAGGTCAGCCCAGGCAAAAAGTTAGCAAGACTCTATCTTGAAAATACCCATCATAAAAAAGGGCTGGTGGAATGGCTCAGGGTGTGGGTTCTGAGTTCAAACCCCAGTACCACAAAAAAAAGCGGGGTGCTGGAGTTAAAGTGATGGAGGACCTGCCAGCCAAGCATAAGCCTTGAGTTCAAACTCCAATACCACCAAAAAATCCATGTGAATTGTGCCTTTTCTCTCCTGATACATTTCTGTTTGTTTCAACATAAACATAGTTTAAAGTTGGAGGAGGCTGAGTTGGTTGGTGCTTATTATCTCAAAATTTCTATATAGCTATTTCTCCAAGATGACATACTATGTCATCTTGTTTATCCTATGGCTAGAAGCACTTTTTTTTTTTTACATATTTTTTAGCATAAAAGCATGTAAACAGATTAAGGGAATTACCAGAAATGTAAATAAGATCTCCTCGAAGTTGGAGCTCTGCATTATTCTTCAGCCACTATTTTGGGTTTTTTTTTTTTTTTCCCTGTATCCATCTTACTTTTGCCAATGCTGAATGTCACAGGGTGCAGACACTTTAGCAAGCATGAAAAAAGGCACCAAACCAAAAGAGCAAATTACTTGCTGCAAAGCAAGTTTTTAAATTAATAAACAAAGCTGTTTTCTGGAGTCCTCTCTCTTTAGAAATGTCATAAGCATTAATGTGTCTAGATCTGTTCACAGGATTGGAAGGAGGAGAGAAGCAGACAATCAGGTCAGGATTCAGTAGATGAAATTTCCAGCTTTTTAGGAACTTTAATGTTGAGTGCAGTTGTCAAACTTCTCTTCTTCCCTCTACTCAGAATTTCTTTTCATTCTAGTAGGATTTTGCCTTACTTAGAAGAGTGATATGTACAATGACCATCTATGTCTATGATAATCACTAAGATTATTAGAACCTAACAAGTGACATTAGGGGCTCTGCCTTGCAGCAACTCTTTTAAATACACCTTTCTTTATTGAATCTGATGTGCACTTATTTGTCTTAGAAGATAGAGGCAAGCTGTCCCACTTTTTTCAACTAGATAATTTGACTTATACTGATTTTCAAACTCATTTTAAAAAATTAATTACATGACAAAGTCATCTACATGGTATAAGAGTCCCAGAATTTTTATTGTGGGGTTTTTGGTTGGTTGGTTGGTGAGGTGTTTTGTTTTGTGTGTGTGTGTGTGTGTGTGTGTGTGTCTTTTGCAATCCTGAGGTTTGAGCTCTACCTCTTAGGCCATACCTTCTAGTCCTAAGACACATATTAATGGGAAATGATACGAAAAGTGTGACCCTTATAAAACGTAAGTGACCATCAGCTTCCATCTTTTGTTCTCCCAGGCACCTCCTCTGGGTGGTGAGCCTATGTACTGAGAGAACGTGGTACACTTCACACTAGTGCATTCAAAAGCTCTCTTGGTAGAAGCCATCGGGATCATGAAACATGAGTACTCTGGATCACCATGAAATGTGGCTCAGTGATGTGGCATTACAAACTTGACACAGTCCTGTTGGTGACCTGTAGAAGGCTTGGAATGGAGTACACAGATAGACATCTGCAGTAGCTATTATCTTTTGGAGACTCAAGATTGATTTTTGTATTTCAGAATTAAATAATTTTTCAATGTGATATTGCATGGCAGGTGGTAGCAAAAACTTTGTTACGTATTTTTAAAGACAAAAAATTATTTCATAATGCCTTTTAACTGATTTTCTTATAAAACTCCCACCAACTTATTACCAAGTCATCTGTCTCAGATGTAACTTCTCAGTCCAAGCTAATCTTTCTGTGAATTTGTTTGTTACTTCACAGTTGTGGTTCATGTCTGTCCAAAGTTGTCCATTTGTTCTTCTGTCCCCATATTATGAAAAGTCGATCTAGAGCTCTCTGTACTCTACAGCATGAAAGGCAATCCATTTTTCAAATTTCTACAGCAGGTGAAGGGAAGCACTTCACAGCACTGGCTGAAGCTCAGCTCATCTGTTGTTCCTAATCGCACAGCCATCTGAGTCTCATGGCCTGCCCCTTGCAGAGGTGACCCCAGTGGGGGTCTCGTCCTCTGTGGTGCCACTTAAGAAAGCCAGTGCAGGGTGGATGTAGTGGAAATATTATGTAGTTGTGCATGAAAATGTTAAAGTGAGACCTGCTGAACTACTCCAGGAATTGGTTAATGGGGGACAAAGGAGAATGAGGGAGGGGGTGAATTCAACTCTGATATATTGTAAAAACTTTTGTAAAATAAACAAAAAAGAAAGTCAGTGGACCCACTACCTACATCTTGTTTCTTATCCAAAATGTTGAGGGTCTATACATTGTAACTTAACCATTTCGAATGTAATATGGCATTATACCAAAGAGGATTTGTCATAGTAATATATGAAACGTAGTTCATAGAAGTATAGCAAAGAGATTTCCAAGACCTCATTGAGTTCAGTGGATAGGAAGGACAGGTTAGAAATAAGGAGGCCTGACATTCTTTCCTCAGGTCTGCTTATTACACATGCGTATTGGAGGCCAACTGTTTAAATTCTGTATGTTTGACCAAGAAAGGGAAAGAAGTTGAAGGAATACCCATTCCTTTTAAGAGTAAGATCCAGAATTTACACACATCAATTCTGCTCACATACCTTGGCCAGAGCTTAGTTGGTTGGTCACAAGAAAAAGGAGGCTATTGGTAAGGATCTCAGACTATTGGACAGCAATGAGTGGCTCTCCTTGTTGTCCCCTTTCGTCAGGAAAGCAAATGTCTTTCAGAAGTCTTCCCTGCCCACCACAGCAAATTTCTGCCTGGTCACATTTCTGGATAGGTTCCGTGGTTAGCCCCAGCCACAAGGAAGCTGGAGTTGCAGGAGGCAGAACGGACTGGATTGGCTTTGACCAAAGTTTCCCAAGCTGTTCTGTGTTCAAGCTTCCTTGGGTCTCAGCGATTTTTTTTTTTAGTAGTGCTTATGGAGATTCATACATGCTTAATTTATAGCTTAATAGCTATTGAAAAAAACCATGTAAAGTAAAAGTAATACCTTTTTCTTTCTTAAGTAACCGCAGTTACGAATGAGATAAGTATCTCTACAAGTTCTTGAACGTTGGAATCACGCGGAACCATGCTGCCTTCATTTCTCGCATCCTTGCTTTTTTATCACAGAAACCAATGAAAACCCAACTTTGCAATGACCTGACCCCTAACGGAATGTAACGTAGCACGTTTTACTGCGGAAGGTGTGGATTACCTCAGGCTGGGAGTTTATTGCCATCAAATGTCATCCTGTTTCCCTTGAAAAGTTGAAATGTGCCCTCACCGCTACTCAGTGAGTTTACTTTGGCACCCTTGGGGAATGGATGTACAGTTCGGGAAGCATGGGCTCAGACCAATCATGAGTCATTTCCTAGGGCTGGACATATTACTCCCCAGATAAGAATTAGACTTTGTTGGGTCTCAGGAAATGAAACCCAAAATATACTACGGTGGCATGCTGACTATTTTGAACTAAAGGAGATTAGATTTTAGAAACAAAATCTCTGGCCTTCTCCTACTCTCCTGTCTCTCGCCCCTTTTTCTCCCCTGAAGCAAGACATAGAAACTAGAATTCTTCCCCAAAGTGAGTCACGGAAACCACAATCCCTCACTTCAGAGGGTCCTGTCCCTTACCCCGAGGGAGGAATGCTATGCTAAGAAGAGCAAGAAGAATCTGAACAAACAGGCCTTGCTGGGTTTTCCTTCCATGTGTTACCTTTAGGTCAGAAGCTTTTGTTCAAGCACACATCTACACAGCCAGCCATTCTTCCCTGAGCCTAAGCATACAGGTAGACAGTGTTTCCTGGGACTTTTCTTCAGTTCTAATGTCTCCCATGTCACATAAAACTCAGATTAAATAAATGTGTGATCTTTTTCTCTTGTTAATCCGTCTTTTGTTCCAGGAGATTCAATTGTAATCCTTATGGGTTTGGAAAGGAATGACACCTTTCTGTACCTCCACCTTCTTTTAGACAGAAGAGAGAATGAAAATTATTTAGGAAACTAACAATTTCTGCCTCAGTCTACCCCAACTAGACCACATGCTCTGAGAGCAGTGTTCACACACTGGTTTATGTGTCTCTTTACTCTTGGTACTTACATGGAGCACAGTACATATTTACTAAATGAATGAAGAAACAAAGACAATTTAGCTGACAAAATGATTAATCTATTGGTCATAGAATGATAAATTATGGGAAATTAGTTGCCTATACAAGTTTTTGTGTGAATTCAAGGCTTAGACAACGCATGCCTTCCTCATTTCTTAAAAGTGCCCAGTCATTGTTTGGCTGAAAGGAGGATATCGAAAAAGGTTGGTTGGATGAATGAGCAGATGTCTTGGTTAGAGCTATTCTGTGTCCAAATACCATTACAAGAGTTCAATTAACTGATAATGAAAATTCTTACTCATGAGTTCTCAATGCAAGTATCTGTGCTGATTGCCAAGACAGAAAAATAACCACTCCCTCTCATTGTTAAGGATGTAAAGCTGTCTCTTGCTACCTGTAAAGTCACCATTAGAAAAACTGACACAAAAGGACAAGCAAATGATTTTGAGATTTCAAAAAGCACATTTTCCACATTATCAGAAGCCAAACTATTTAATAATTGAAGATCATTTCACAAAGTCCAGAAAGATGATTGCATACTTATTTTTAAAAGCCCACCAAATTTTATCATTATAATAGACATTTCAACAAAATTTATCTTTCTCCTTTTTCTTGTTCCCTAGCCCAAATGTACTTTTCTGAATTTTCATAGTTTTGCAACATGGGAACCCATTCAAGTTATTTGGTTTCCCTGATTGTGAAGTGACAGAGACTCTGTGCACTGTGACACTCCAGAAAAGACTGTGTGCATACGTTTGTATGCTGCCATGTTAGGTTGTGTCTACATCTAAAAATTGCATGGCCATTTGATTTTCCAAGTAATACATTTAGGAAGTTATTCATATGCCTGTCTCTGTCACTAAGTCAAAAACATTTTGAAGACAGGGATATGTCCTTTCATTTTTGAACCCCTGGATTTAGGGCCTGGTGCAGAAGAATAGATATCCAATACAGATTTGTGAGTTAGGAGCTATTTCTTTTTTTAATGATTTATTAGCATATATTAGTTGTACAGAGAGTTTCACTGTGACATTTTCATATATGCTTACAATGCCCTTGGTTAGACTCACCCTCCTCCATCATTCTCCCTCCCCTGCCCCAACCAGTAACTATTTCTTATCAAGGTTTTGCCATAGGCTTTAATCACAGTACTTTGTTTGGAATAAATACTCAATCTGTGTATTTTTGTTCTGTTAGGGCCCAAATAATTTTTACTTTAACTTCAGTATTTCTGAAAACATGAAAATCAGGACTTACTCTTCCTTTTTATGCAAATGGAAAAATATAATTATCTTTAATGATGGGTACCAAATCTTAAATTTGTACTATGAGAAATGAATGATTTAGGTGAAATGTCTTTGAGACATTCTTGTTTCAATTGGTTAGGTTTTATTCTGCTGTTATTAGTATATTTTCCACCAGTTTAATAAAACCTTGCACTGAGCTCTTGTAGGTGTGGACCAACATCTGGGGGGAGAGTCATGTTCCCGTTTTATGTGTCTACATTTTATTTTTAAAATACATTTTAATTTGTTTTTTCTGAGCATAAAAGGAACAAGCTCATTGCAAAAAGTTAAGTCATTATGACATTTATTTAATAGAAAGACCAGAGATAACTTCCTTCAATTTTTTCTATGGATTTATTCACATAAAATATTGTCATAATTGAAGTGAAATTGAATCATACTGTACCTATTATTTTATAATTTCATTTTTTCACTTAATAGTCTACCTAAACTGTTAAGTGTAAAAGATTTTTCAAGACTAGCAAATATATTCCAAAGAAAATGAAGTCAGTGTGTTGAAGAAACATTTGCATGTTTACTGTGGCAGCATTCACAATAGGAAGAAAGGAAATTAGCCTCAGTGTCCATGGACAGAAGAACAGACAAAGAACAGGTGGTATAGATACACAATGAGATCTTATCCAGACATTAAAAAAAATGAAATCTTGTCATTTGCAGAAACTTCAGTGGAACTGGAGGACATTATGGTAAGTAAAATAGGCTGGGCACAGGATGAATCTCATGTGCTCTTAAATATGGTGTATGTTGAAATACATATATACATACACATTGCATATACTTTAGCCGATATATATTGTCCATACAAATATATACACACGTTATAGAAATATATACATGCATGTACATATATATATATATGTATCAGCTACAAAGTTGATCTCGTAGAAGCAGAAAATAGAATAGTGTCTACTGGAGCCTATGGTAGAGTGGGGAGGGAGTGGTGAGGAAGGATGGGTACAGTTGAATAGGAGGAATAACTCCTATTCTACAGAGTACAAGTTTAACTATTGTTGACTTCAATTAATTGAACATTTAAAATAGCTAGTAGAAGTAGTCAGGAACCAGTGTAAAGATCAGTTAGAGATGAATCAGCTTGGGTTGTAACACATTTGTGCATGGAAGCAATGCTAGGAATCTCTCTGTACAGCTGTCCTTAACTCAACTACCAAAATCGCTTTGTCTTCCTTAGTATGCTTAAGTCTTTTCTTCAACAAAATTAGAGAAAAGGGCAGAACAGGTTCTGCCTGGAAGTGAGAGGGGGAGGGGGGAGAGAGGGTGGGGGGGAGGGGGCAGGGTGGAGAAATGACCTAAACAATGTATGCACATGTGAATAAATGAATAAAAAAGAAAAGAAAAGCAAGGAATGATATAAAGGTGGCAGATATGCCACTTGCCCTTATTATCTGATCGTTACACATTGCATATTGCAATCCATAAATCTGTACAATTGCTGTCATTAAAAAGAATACAAATTCCAAAGACTAGCAACTATAAGGCCACCTTGTTATTTTTAATTGCTAAATATTACTTTAAGATATTTATAGAACCCTAAACTTCTTTGACTCAATGATCACACTTGCAAATTAAATGATCATTTGTGCAATTGTAGGTTTCCTGCTTGTGTCCATAAGGAGACGGCAGATCCCATGCCTCACTCACACTGCCTGGAACATGCACACTGACTGCAGATCCTATGAATGAATGAGTGAAGGAGTAAATGGGCCTTCATTCCAGGACTTTCTTCACAAAACCTGGGCTCTTTCCACAATTTCATGCCTCCCCTTAGTGGCCCCTTAACACTCTATGGGAAATGTCACGGTCTTGCTATTTATGCTTATATTATCTTTAGTTTTATTTAGCATGCTTAGGCCAATATGACGACAGAGAAGGAAGTAATGTAGATATGCAGAAGTATAGGAATAATAATTACACAATGAAGCCCACGTATGGTGGTACATACCTGTAATTCAGCACTTGGAGGCAGAAGCAGGAGGATGCAAATTCGAGGTCCCAAAGAACTAAAGGCTGGAGATGTAGGTTAGTGGGGGAGCGCTTGCCTCACTTGCCCACACCCTGGGTTTCACCCACCAGCTCTGCTCTACATTTGTGTAAATAATCATGATTTCAAGTCTAAGTTACTGGAGCTTATTACGTTTTCTTCTATTCCTAGCTTTGTTCATTTGGGCAGCTATAGACTTAGCTGACTTGTAAATAGAACTTTTTTCCAACAGTTCTGGTAAGCCCAAGGTCAAGAAGGCAGCAGATTTGGTATTTGGTGACAGCCTTCTCCCTGGTTCACAAGGAGCCGTCGTCTCACTGCGTCCTGGCATGGCAGAAGGGATGCGGGAGATCTCTTGGGTCTTTCATGAAGGCACCAATCCCACTCATGAGGACTCCACCCTAGTGACCTAATCACCTCCGGGAAGTCCCTCATGCAAATACCACCACATTGGGGGGTGTGCTTCAACATACAAATTCTAAAGGAACAAAAATATTCAGTCTGTTCTGTTCCTGGCACCCCTAAATTCATGTCTTTCTCACATGCAGAATACATTCATTCCATTACAATAGCTCCCCAACTAACTCATCCCAACATTAAAGTCTAAAGTAAAATGTTCATCTAAATATCACTAAATCGGGTATAGGTGAGGACTTTTAAGTACAATTCATCCTGAGGTAAATTTCCATGTTATGTGTTTGCATCATACAATAACAGGACAGGCATTCCCATTCCAAAAGGCTCAAAAAGGAAAAAAGAAGAAAAAGAGGAGTTTTCAGTAAGCCATAATCTAATGGGGCAAATGACATTAAATATTCAGGCTCAAGAATAATCTTTAAGATGGGCATCACTGGCTCACATCTGTAATCCCAGCTACTAGGGAGGCAGAGATAGGGAAGATGGCAGTTCAATGCCAGCATCAACAAAAACTTTCAAAGACCCCATCTTAGCTAAACATGGCGGCCCATGCCTGTCATCCCAGCTATGAAGGAAGCTTAACTAGGAAGATGGCAGTCAAAGCCAGAGTGGGTGTAAATATGAGACCCTATTGGAAGATAATCATAGCAAAAAGGTCTGGGGGCATGACTCAAGTGGTAGAGTGCCTGCCTGGCAAAAGCAAGGCCCTAAGTTCAGATCTCAGCACCACCAAAAATGCTTTGCATTTCAGAACCACTGCTGTTGGGTCCCCAGTCTACAATTCTCATAGGTCCCATGCCTGCAGCCCCCTCAGGAGTTTTACAGTGATTTGGCCCCTACTGCTTCCCTAGCTCTTTAGGTTGTACCTTCCTCAGGTTAAAATCACATAATGGTCTAGACTTTACAACTGTCCTTGGCTGGGGACCTATGCTCACAGCTACACTGGGACATCCCATCTTTGAAATTTTGGTGGAGGCAGAATGGCTTTGCCATTCCCAAGCCGTGAGGAACCAAGCAGGGGCATCCTTGCCCTCCGCTACTTCCCCCCACCTCACCCCACCCCACTACAGAGATGAGGGGGCCAGGAAATTCTTTGGGGTCTCCTTTGTAAGAACAGTAGACCTGCTGATGGTAGCGCCACCCTCATGACCTGATTTCCCTCCCATCACACTAGAATTAAATGTCAACACAGGAATTCTAAGGGGGACACAAGCATTCAATTTCTAGCAGTCTCTTTCTCTCTTCTGGCATTTCCACTATGTGGAAGTCACTTCTTTGTGACTGTCCCACAGTCTTGTGTATTCTGCTCACTTCCCTTTCCCCTGCCCCAGTCTTTGTTCCCCTTGATCTTTAGTTTGGGGGATTTCTATGAATATATTCTCCAGCTCAGAGATTCTTACCTCAGCCACGTCCAGAGTACTAATAAGTCCATCAAAAACATTTATTTTATGGTATTTCTTTATGACTCCATCTCAGAATTTCTCTCTCTCTCTCTCTCTCTCTCTCTCTCTCTCTCTCTCTCTCTCTCTCTCTCTCTCTCTCTCCACACTTACCTTCATTGGTCATCACTCTCACCTGTGTAATTTATTTAGCTATGATGAAGTTCTAAGTTCCTTATCTAGTAATCCCAACATCTCTGGTAAGTCTGCCTCTGACATTGCTTTGTCTCTTCAGACTTTGATTTGCCTTTTAGTATGCCCTGTGGAGCCATGCTCCCCAGGGACCCCGGGGATTTGGGAGGTGGTGGAACCTTAAAGAGATGGGGCCTGGTGAGAGGTCCTTAGGCCATTGGGGGACCTCCCCCTGGAAGGGAATACTGCTCTCATG